CCGACTCCGCGCTGAGCATGGGGCCAACTCAGGGCTCAGTCTCACGACCCTGAGATCATGACCTGAGCCCAAACCAAGAGCCAGACACTTAGCCAACTGAGCCACCCAGGCGCCCCAGGGGATAGCTTATTTTAAATGACTTCTAAATTTACTTCCAACTCCATAATTCTGTCATTATTTTCCTTTTCAGGTTTTGATATCCTCATTCCTAAGTTCCTTTTCCTCCTCCTCCCCCCCTTCTTCTTCCTCCCCTCCCTCTTCTTCTTCTTCTTTCTTCTTCTTTTTCTCTTATTAGTTTATAAGCCTTGCTTCTCAAGGTACCGTGAGAAAATCAAGCCAATTTCTGGTTTAATGGTGTCATTACTTCAAATCCTTAAACTAGGCTCTCCCTTTCTTCCGTGTCCCCAACAAGCCTTGGTGACTAGTTTCGCCTTTTACCTTGTCTAAGGACGTGTACTTCTGTAAGGAAGGAACCTCCAGCCCATGCTTTCCCTGTGGATGAGTTATTTGCCCTCACTTTAACGGGGGTCCCACTTCAGTAGTCTATGTGTTACTGGCAGTTCTCCTGAAGAGGACACTGTTTCCCACACCTATTATTGCTTTGCCAGGCCTCTGGCTGGGCTCAGTGGACACTGAGTATTGCCATGCTCTTCTGCAAGAAAGGCAGACCTGCTGCTCAGTGGGGCAGCTCTTTCTGATGCCAAAAGGAGAGCTTGTTTTTCATGATGAAAACATGTGTTGTTCTAGTTGGCAGAGTTAGGATCAGTAGGTGGAAATATAGAGCGCTGGACCCCATAAGGCTCTTGGAATAAATCTTCAAAGACTTAAGCTGGGAAAACTACATGGTGTTACAACACTTATTTCCTTTTTTCGACATTTACTGATTATCTGCTTTGCCCTGAAGTCTCACAAATTAGAAAAAAAAATGGATCACAAACAAAAAGGAACTTAGAATCTATTAAGGGAAAGAGACTTACAACGTAGTTAGGATGTGAATAAAATGCTATGGGGATACAAAAGGGGGATACTCTCCTGAGCTCTGCAGAGGAACACGAATTCGCAGGCTCTGGGCCAGCTTAGGATGGAACTCAAATCCCTTATGGGCCACTTGTTAGCTGAGAGACTCTGGGTAAGTTATTTCAGTACTCCAAAATATCCATGGGGCAGTAGTACCTGAAAGATTAAATGAGAATGAATGTAAAGAACCTAGCAAGATGTCTGGCACAGAGTAAGCTGATGAACATGTTGTTCCCCTTCTCTTTGATTCCCTTTCAGGAAAGTCTCTGTAGAAATTATTGGGGCAGTTACTCACACATCATTTGTGGTATCTGGACCCCAGACCCAGCCGCTTCAAATGTCTTCCTATGGTGAAGCTTCTGGACTCTCCAAGTGGGGGTCCTTATGACCTACTGGGCAATCTGAGGGTATTTTTTGGACTACACATCTGAAACATTTCCATTTTTCTTCTTCTTCTTCTTTTGTTTCTCATTTTCTCTCCTATGACTTTTCTCTCTCAGACATCAAGCTCCCATTTCATGATTTCTCATTCTATTTTCCAGACACAGTGAAGAAACCCCCTGGTGTCTCAGCCCCTGATTCTGGAAATTTCTTCAACATCAGCCTTCCTGTATACAGTTTGCTCCTACCATCTAAATACATCACAATCTCGTGGATGTGGTCCTTGTATGCCCATTGTCCTCCCCTTGAATGACACTGGGTAGATGCTTTACTCTGTAGGTATCTTATGGCAAAAGATGGATAATGGGCTTCTTTGTTTTGAAGACCAGTGAAGTCTCCATTGAAATGTAAGGGAATAGAAGGAGGATGTCAACAAAGTAAGAAACCAGTTTCCTCTAGGGTGTGAGTCTTATGGGGCACAAATAAAACAAAGATGGCAGCCTTCAGATGCCTCCATCTCCAGGGCTCTGCTGGAGATCCAGGAGTTTGTCAAGCCTCACGCATTCTATCAAAAAGATGAAAGACAATGTCTGCCATAGCACTGAATATTGAAATTCTGGATTTAATTTTAAATTTCGTGTTTCAGGTACCACCTTTCTCATAATCAAAATGTACTCTACTTTGTTACCTACCTGGCCTATAGGTTTTGTGTGATGTTCTCCAACTTTGATCTAGAAGACATGTTGTGAGCAAAATCAAACCACTGTAACTATTTTTTTGTACCGGTCTATTTCTCTTATTATAACTCTGACAAAGCATAGAGAAGGAATACACACATTTAATAAATAGAAAATATTTATTATACAGCATTATCAAGATTATTTGACAAAAGGCAGTAACGAGCCAAAGGAAAACACTTTTACAAGAAGCTAAACAACTTGTATAAGCACATACATTAAGGTGAAGAGTATCTGCCCTTTTGGTACAGGGTATGTATGTGTACATTTCCAATTTTGAACAATTATGCTACAAGAGCTAATACTGTATTGTATTCAAGAAAACTTTTAATCATGATATTAGGCATTCAGAGAAATAATGTAACTGGTGTTGAATGTGTTCACCACATGTCTCAGACTAAAACCTCAGAACAAACTGACATAGTATTTGAATAGTAGAGCAGTTTTCCTGATCTATTCTTACTTAAAAAAAAAAATCTGAACGCACAAGTCCTGTGATATCAAGGACATATGTTAGTGGCATTAAGATAAAAAAAAACATGTTCCACGAATAACAGATAGTAGGCTTTCACTTGCTTGTTTGCCAATAAGCAGACCACCTATTCAGCACTGGAACCATCCACGCTCCTCATTCTGCTTCATTACCGTGAAAACATGGGACTGAAATTCCTGTTTCAGTCATGAGGTCTTTCTACCAAAGGTGTTACGAATAATTTTTTAAAGGAAAGGCAGTCCATTCTTGATATGGAACTGACTAAACTTGGCAGTAGAATATGGGAAGACGTAAGAAACATGAGCCTCAAATATTGGAGCTGATGTTAAATTCTGAACAAATGATGCGGTGGGTATTTAAAGATTCTAAGACGATTTTTGGCTGAGAAATTAGCTTCCACATGAAGGAAGCATATTAAAATATGACTGCACATAAGGCATAAACAGATATTTAAAGGGGTAAGCTTCATTCCACAAATAATAGAAGAAATCAAAACAGCAAGAAAAATTGCTTTTATCGGGTGTAAAAAGGAGGACAAAAATGAAACTGGATTACACGTACATGGATATTACACGCAGCAAATGACAAAAATATAAAGAAAAGTGAGGACAGTACAAACAGACAAATCAAAGTACATGGAAATAACAAATAAAAGAAAGTAAGAGGTGATGGATAGATAATTTGAAAAATTATGACCAGACATAAAGGTTAGTATATGCTTCAATCACCGAAAGCTCAAGTCGCTGTGGAAAATCTTTAAAAAAAAAAAAAAAATCTAAAGTGACCTGAAATAATCTCAATACTGTCATTCCAATCTCATGTTTTAATAATGATGTGTGAAAATTTATAAAATGTACCTCTTTATTGTTACCCACAGTTTTTTTAATGTGACAAATTTTCAAGCCACTTCATTAATAATGTGTTCCACATCATAAAATATCTGAAAAATAAGTTCCCTCTTAGAAGAGGAAGGACCATCTGAGCAGCGTGTGAAAACCACTCAATCACAGCACTCAAACCTTCAAAGAGCTTCTGTAAATATTGGTGACAATATATAAAACATTATTAGAACATAAAAATATCTATACTCTATTGGAAAGACAACCTTCCAGTTGCAGTTCCACTGACGTTACATTGCACAAATTTTACTATCACACGTATACAAGGACACAGGAACACATTTACGTACTAGTTACAGGGACTTGGATGACAGAAGGAAAGAATTATTTGTCACTGAACCAGTAATAGTTGCTATGAGTACACCATTAAGTTCGAGGATGGATTTGTTTCTGTAGTACATAGGAGAAACAATGGCACCAAATATACATACTGCATCTTAGGAGTTCAACTGGTAATAATATTTGCTACAGTAAATGTAAGGTAACAATTTTGCCACATGGTTTGTTCTCTTTAAGTGAAGGGCAGAGAAGAGCCCCCGTTGGCACAAACACAAGATAATCCACAAAACATCTTCTGCCACTCTCAAAACAATCTCTTGTCCCAGCGTTTTTTCCAAAATCACCAGTGAGTTGAGTATCAACTATGGGACGTTGTCTGTGCTGATTGCGTTCACCACCTCATGCTTGTGTACTGTCTTGCCTCTCATTCCATCCTCCCTTAGCACTCCTGATGAAGCACTTTTTGGTGATGCTTTTGCTCTGATTCCTGTTTTCCTAAGTAGAGAGAAATCACAGAGCAGCAGGGTGTCCATACACTTTTTTCCAAATGTGACAACAAGGCTGGCTCTGCATCAGGTGCAATGGGTGAAGAGAGGCCCCTGTCTGGGCCAATTCCCAAGGCTCCTGAACACCAGTAAGGAGACGGGGTAGAGAAAAATGAGCTGCCATGCCATGGGTGATTGCATGCCTGCCCCTCCTTCACCCACCCATCCGTCTGGCTCCACCACACTCACTATGACTACCATGAAAACCATGATGTCAACTAATGATCCACCTGGCCGGTCCACATGTGTTGTCTCTTTTCAAACTGGCCAAGTGTGTGTGGGCACGTATATCTATGCACAATTGTCCAGAAGAGGAGATTATTTCTGTTGATTTATTTATTTATGTACGTATGTATGTATTTATTTATGTATGCGGTGAACGTTGTACACTATATGGGATTGTGCTTTGTCAGAATTGCCTTTCTTCCCAGAGAAGGCTTTTGAATAATTCAAGAATCGGGATCCTCGCCGGGCTCCTTTTTTGACTGCAGAGCACAGTTCCCTCTGGCCTCCACTAAGGCAGCAGCCTCGGCTCCCTTTCCCTCTGACTTCACCCTCTTCCGAACCTCCGCCTCCCAGCTGTCCGCACATCTCCGGAGGTGCTGGTGCTCTCTGGTTTCTCTTGCTTTTCCACGTGGACACCTCCTCCCTACAGGGTGGAAGAGCTTTGCTTATAGTCCCTCAGGATGACCGAGGCGTAGGTCACGTTGGGAGGGGTGCAGAGCACCGACTCGGACACGGGGGAGCTGGGCACCGAGCTGCCCGAGGCCACCGAGTCGCGGAAAGGCGACGGAGGCGTCAGAGCGGGCGAATCCTCGGGGGCCGGCTTGCTGGCCGCCTGCAGGCCCTCGTCTTCCTCTTCCAGTTCATCTTCCTCCGTGTTCCCTTCCCGCTCATACAAGTACTCTTGGAGGAGCTGGAACCTCTCGCTGTCGTCCTCGTCCTCGTCTTCTGCTGGCGGGGAGGCGGGCTCCTCCCCGAAGGTGCTCAGCTGCAGTGGGAGCATTTGCAGGTGCTGCGGGGGCGCCGGGGGCGGGTGCAGCGAGCTCACCCCGTTCCCCGGGCCCCCGGGGACTGCGAGCACCGCATTGAAATCTGGGATCCCGGGGCTGAAATTGTTGACCACCCCCTGTAGCTGGTCCATCAGGGATTTCTGTGGCTGTGGTGGCTGCTGGAGGGGAAGGGGCAAGCCCTTGGGGATGGCCGGTTCTGCCAGGAAGAGGGGGGTCTCCTCTGTGGTCAAGTGGGGCGGCAGAGGCGGGGTGCTCACCGCGGGTGGCACGCGTCGGTGCACCACCATAGAAGGACTGCTGGGAGGGCTGAAGCCAACCGGCTGGGCATCCTCCTCCTCCACGTTGTAAAGGGTCTTGGTGCTGGTATCTGAAAAGGTCAGGCTCTTGCCGGAGCCCTGGTAACTTTTAGTGAGGGGCTTGATGACGGCTGTTTGGTTGCAGGCCGTCTCATTGGTCTTCACGTGCACAGAGAGGCGGTGCCACATGTGCTGTCCCTTGGGCACCTGTCTTCCACCTGGTTCAGACCATGACACAGACTTGCCATTAGAACTATGAATAAAATAGAGATGGATTTATTTGCCGATATTTCGTGCACACAGGAGAAAATACATATAAATTATATGCAATCCCAGCTCAATGCAATTTGATTCCCCCCCCCCCCCGTATGCCCGGCCTCCATACCTATCTTAATCTCCCCTTATCACAGGTCAAAAGCCAAAAGCTGCAGTGACCACAGCTTGCCTCTGTAGCTGGTCAGTGATTCCATCAACCCCAAGACAAGGCAGAACACATAGACCGGGAGAAAGTCCCAGGGGGAGAAACTCCCGGCTGCTGCAGAAGCAGCTATTTTCATTTCAGTCTGAGATTTCACAAAGTTATTACACACTCACGTACAAACACATACCCTTACGGTAACCACGACATTGCCACTCAGTGCAAGACTTTGAAAGATTCCACAATTGATGGAGGAAACAAGAAATAACACTGTAGTTACACATGGACAACAGAACGTAATGCCCAGAGCTCTTGCTCTTCTTAAGTCCCTGGAACAAATTAAAACCCACATATTAAGCTACTCTCATTGTCCTGTGAGGTTATAAAATATATCCCCTCAGTCACCCTTTCTGATAGGTACCAGAGCAGCAAGGTCAGACACATGGCACCTGTCCAGAAGAGAAAAAAGCGGGTGACAGAAAACCCAGACCCATGTTCCACTTATGTGTGTCATAACTTTGGCTTTTCTTTTTATTCCAGTGCATTATTCCTGACACATACAATGAATCACAATTCACATAAAGGCCCTGATTCATAGCAGCTAGTTTGGGATTTCCCGGCTGGGGACTTTTAACTAGGTGTGTTTGAAAAGAGACAGAACCAGGAAGCCCAGCAAAATACAGATGCTCAGACCCTGGTTTAGTCCTTCAACATAGTTTGTGATGAAAATGAGACAAAATTAAGATTCAGAGAAAGCAGACGTTATGGAGACAAAGGTCCCTCCCTGGCCTTTTCCTCATTGAGCTTCAGAGAAGAAAAATGTTAGGGTACCAGCAGCCCTCCTGCTTTATCAACTTTCATTTTTATGGGACCATCAAAAAACCAATCAAATAGAAGAAGGAGGAGAAGTGGGAGAAGGTGGAGGAGCAGAAGGAGGAAGAAAAGAGAGGTATGGTGTATATCATTCAAATTCTGTTCTGCGTGTTGTAATAACTCTGGTCTTACTTTGGGACTTTTAGCTTTTTTTTCTGTATAACTTTCAGCAGATGTTGGTAACTTACCATAGCACACTATTAATAACAGCAGTGTTAATACTTATATCAGGAAATACTTTTTCTTGTGTGTGTGTGTTGTTCTTTTTTGTTGTTTTTTTGAGTTTGCTTTTTCACTGTATCCATGAAAACAACAGAGAAGGTAGCACAATGTTAACACATTTTTGACAGTAAAAGGAATAGGGATAAGGAACATTTTTTTCTTAGGTGGGTATGTGTAATAGACTATTCTGGATCATGGTCTTTGGTTTTGAAAAATGTAGGAAGTGATCAATAGTTAATATAATGGTTTATTTAATCATTTTGAAAATGCAAGAATGAATACTTCAAAAATCATGTGTGTTGCATTTATGATGACGATAATATTTTGACATTTTACATATTATAATCTTAAAAAATGAAGTGAGCCAAATAAATACAGAGTTTTGCATAAATTCTGATACCTATTATAGAAAATTCTGGATATAAAAGTCCTAAAATAGATATAATAGTTAAAATTTTGAACTCATTATTTGGGAAAAGGTAGTTCCTCTATCTTATAATTTATATGCTATATGGATATTTATTTGAGAGAGAGCTGCAGGCAGGGGGAGGGGCAGAAGGAGAGGGAGAGATACTCTTGAGCAGACTCCCTGCTGAGCGTGGAGCCCAACAATGGGGTTGGTGGGGCTTGATCTCACAACCCTGAGATCACCACCTGAGTGGAAACCAAGACTTGGATGCTCAACCAACTGAGCCACCCAGGCACCCCATTTATGCTATATTTTTAATTGTCTAAGAAAAATCTCATCTCCAAAATACTATGTGAAAATTAATATTTTTCTGAAATATATGCTTAACATATTTGCTGAGAATGTAGAAGTACTTGTAAATGCAAAATTACTGGCTTTTCAGCTTCCACACTATTGTTAGAATACCTTTCTTCCGAGCTGAGTCAACTATAGAACAGACGGCTGGTGTTCCCAGCATGAACAGACAATCAACCAGTCAGTAACCAAGACCACAAGCCACAGTTCCTCTTCTGAGTTTGAAACTCTAGGTGAGCTCACCTCCCACCTCCTTCTTTCTCAATTTCCTCCAATCCTTACTCTACTCAGACCATCTCTCTCTTTATATGTTCATTACTACTCTTTCAGAAAGTATAAAACCATGGATTTGCCTCTTGCCTTGCCTCTTAAATATGTTTTAGTGTACCATCCAACCTCAATGATTTGCATTTTTTTTGCACCACTTTTTAAAAAAGAGATTTTATTTATTTATTTGAGAGAGAGAGAGAGAGTATGAGTGAGGAGAGGGGCAGAGGGGGAGGGAGAGAGACAAGCAGACTCCTCCCTGAGCATGGACTCCACCCTGAGCATGGAGCCCAATGCAGGGCTCAATCCCAGGACCCTGAGATCATGACCTAAGCAGAAATCAAGAGTCAGATGCTTAGCGGACTGAGCCACCCAGGGGCCCCTGATTTGCATCACTTTCAATTGCAATGGAAACATCTTTTCTTTCTTCCAATGCCTGCCTCTCAATGCTTATTTTTTTTTTAAAAAATCATTAAACTAAAAGGATGCTTTGTGTCTTTATTTAGCTGTGTGTGTGTGTGTGTGTATGTGTGTGTACGTGTGGGTGTTTAAGAAACAAGTCCCTTGAGAGCTAGTCTACACCTTACTCAACCACCAGGTTTACATACCCCAACAAACCATTGCTCCAGTCTCCATAGATGCTGGCAAAAAGGCATCCTTGTATTCTTGGGACTTAACTTCACTCACTCACTCACATGGGCTGTTTTCCTCACTTCCCAGGGCCCTACATGGGCCTCTATTTAAATCATGCGCTTCCCTATTTTAATGGTATTATTAATCATCTTGCATATAGATAAAATCACATCTTAGTTCTGTTTTAATCCAATACCATTCTTATTCTTGTAATGGGAGATTTTCACCCTGGCTGTCAAAATTAGCAGCGCTTCCCCTCAGAGTCTTGCTCTAGATTTGCTGTAAAGAACTGTTTAATTAGGAAACAGTTCTGAATGTCCCAGGACACTTATCAGATTAAGAAAATTAGATTAACCTTTTTTTTCCAAGGACAAAATAAATTGCTTCCTAAAAACCAGAGATAGTGAAGGAAATGTGTCATCTCATAGAAACTTCAGGACAGTGTATAAACTTCAGTCCTTCTGAATTAGGTGTTTCTGACATGTTGTCCGTATACAGCTTGAATGGTCCATGAATCTACACATGCGATAAGCTTTGTTTTTACACTGGATCAATATTATGTCTTGATAGATTGTACACTGCTATTTTCAAATGCATGTAAGTAAGTGCTAGCATGATAAAATGTGCTGCTAGATACAAGTGTAGCTAAATTCGAGAAGCTTTTTTGTGTTTTATGTTCAAGTGGCTACTAAAAAAATGTACAATTATTATTGATTCGAGTGAAGTTTTAAGAAGCATTTTGGTGTGAAAAGGGATTTCCCTATTTGAAAAGGTTGGGACCCCATTGCTATGATATTAAGAAGAGAAAAATGTATAAAATATGGGGCAGCCAAAAAGGAGTAAATGCATTATCAAAATGCAGTATTACTATGAAATAAGTCTTCTATTTAATCCCAGATAATTTTAATACCTTCCGTTTCAGCCACCAACTTTTCCTTTTATTATTTAATTTTACTTGGTTTCCTAAATAGAAGTCTTAGGAAAAGCAACCTGATCTAGAAACACCAGGTAATTGTCACAAAACACCCCACCCTTCCTGCTCTCACTTCAGAAGGCCGACATCAGGCCTAAAACAATCTCATATTTGAAGATCAAATGCAGTAGCATTTGGCGTGAATACCTCAGGTGGCTAAATATATTTATTGATACAGAAGTTATTGGAGGAAATGGCTGTTAGGCTGGAGAGGAACCAGGATGTAGAGGGTGATCTACACTGGGAGTGTGCAGAGCCAAGCAGGCCTGGGACTGCCGAGCCAGCTATGACAGGCTTGGAATCTTGCTTTGGTTTTTCTCTCATTAGATTAGTCTAACAATCCCCCCCCAACAGAAAACCCGATATTTACAGCACTTTAGAGAATGGTTAGAAGTGGGTGGTGTAAACAGATTAGTATATCTTTGGCATTCGGAGTGATCTTGTCTGTTTTATTTGTTTCAGTAAGTACTAGTTACATCTGCAGGGTACACTGCTCTCTGCTCCAGAGAGGTCTAAAATGGGAATAACAGTGGGTGGGTGTTTGAGATCAGGAGGGAAGCATCCTGCACAAGCTGCCTGAGGGGGAAGCTTACACAGCACCTGTCTCCCTTATGTCCAATTCAAGTCTTTGCCATGTGGCTTAATAGCTTCACGACAGACATAAGGATGGCATCCAGAGAGCCCACAGACAAGGCAAGACCTTCGCAGAAGGAGGGGAGACGCAGTCCTTGGAACCTGAAAAGGTTAGCATGTGTTTTCTCTGAAAATGAAAGTGGAAACAGGAAATGCCATTGAGTCACGGCATGGAGAGAATGGCTTACCAAGTCCAGAGAAGAAACCAAAGCTACAGGCTTATGGGCAGTTTTGCTGGGGCCCTGCAGCCATGGTGGGGACACGAGGCCTTTCCAAAAAGGCTGGTGCTGCCCTAACTGAGATACTCGGAAAGGGATGCCAGACATGTGTTGTCCAAATGCCTCGCCTCTTCCTGCTTCAGGGCGCTGGTACCAGAAGGATGTGTGAGTAGTGATTCTTGTAGAATCGCAGGCATTGGAACTATTTGAAGCCATATGAGTCAGACTCTTGTTTTCCCAGGCAACGCCAAGT